AGAACATTAATTTGATAGAATTCTGAGATTAGTAGTGGTTTTGTGCTATAGTTTTTAGGTTTGGTAACAGGGTTATGCTACTTTTATAAAGTAAGTTATATGAATTAAAAAAATAAAAGAAGATATCTTCAAACAGCTCCTGTTGTGGTTTGTAGGATTATTTTATTTACCCCTTTGCTTTTTTTAAAAAAGGTAGGCTTTATTTTTTAGAGTAGTTTTAGGTTCACAAACAATTTGAGTGGAGGTTATAGAGATTTCCCGTGTGAACACCCCTCTGCTATTATCAGTGTTTCACAACACAAAGGTACATTTGTTATAACCTACTCTACATTGACACTTCATCTCCCAAAGGCCGTTGTTCACATTAGGGTTCATTCTTGGTGTTGTACATCCTATGGATTTTGACAAATTTTGAAATGACACGTATCCATCATCATAGTGTTTTATAAAAAGAGTAGTTTCACTGCCCTAAAAAATTCCCTGCACTCTACCTCCTGCCTCCTTCCAGCCCCTGGCAACCACTGATCTTTCTGCTATCTCCATAGTTTTGCCTTTTCCAGAATGTTAAATAGTCACAATGGTGCATATGTAGCCTTTTGAGATTGGCTTCTTTCACTTAGCAATATGCATTTAAGTTTCCCCTATGTTTTCTCATGGCTTGAGAGTTCATTTCTTTTTAGTGCTGAATAACGTTCCATTGTCTGGTATACCACAGTTTATCCATTCACCTGCTGAAGGACCTCTCAGTTGCTTCCAAGTTTTGTCAATTATGAATAAAGTTGCTGTAAACACCCACATGCAGATTTTTGTGTGGAAACAGGTTTTCAGCTAATTTGGGTAAATTCCAAGGAGTGTGATTGTTGGATTGTATGGTAGAGTGTGTTTAGTTTTATATGAAAACTCAAACCGTTTTCTATGATGGTTTATCATTTGGTTTTTCTTTATTGTTTTAATGTTAAAATTTCTCCTGGATATAGCTAGATGCTCTGGTCTCTCTAGTTTGCTTAAGCAGGGCATGGTGGCTCACACCTATAATCACAGTGCTTTGGGAGGCCAAGTTGGGAGGACTGCTTGAACCTAGAAGTTCAAGACCAGCCTGGACAACATGGCAAAAACCAGTGTCTACAAAATAATTTTAAACTATTAGCCAGCATGGTGGGATCTGCCTGTAGTCCCAGCTACTTGAGAGGCTGGGGCGGGAGGATCACTTGAGCTCAGGAGGTCAAGCCTGCAGTGAGCCGACTGTGATGGTGCCACTGCACTTCAGCCTGGTTGACAGAATGAGACCCTGTCTCCAGATGGGTAGATAGATAGATAGATGTTTGCTGAGTGCTGAGTGCACTTTTTGATCTAAAAACTTAATTCTTCAAGTCAGGAAATTTTCTTTAATAATTGTTTCTCCATGGACTCTATTCTCTATTTCTGGAATGCCTATTATATAGGTATATTTGATTTCTGGATCTTTCTTTTCTTTCTCTCTCTCCCTTTTAATCTATTTATTTATTTATTTCTGAGTTATAGAGAAGGTTCTCAAAGCAATCTTTCCGGATTTGGTTTTTAATTGGAAAAAAATTTCCTGGTTTTGCATATTTTCCATATTCACATATAGATTGACTTTTGGAATTGTATTTACAATGTAAATTAGGGAATTTTACTGTTTTTGCTTCTTAGATTCGAATAACCCTAGTAATAAAGATATAATAGCTTATATCTTTTTTCATATGTCTAGAAATGTTTATCTAATTGCTCACTTTGTGGAGGGACCTAGATCTACATTTATTTGGGATTGAGGTTTGAAATGCATCCTATAAAAGATGTGTAGATCATCTTCGAACATGTTGGTTCTGGCAATGGGAAGATAAGCAAAATGGAATATTTATGGTTTCGTTTTCTGGATTGGGAGATCCAATCCACCATGATTAGGGCAGGGAGAGCTTCTGAGAAGAGGAGAGCAGTTTGCTGTTCTGCTGGGCAACTTTGTTGAGGCAGTCCAAGGTTGGCCAGAAGAATGTCCCCTTTCCTAATTGGCATGAGCACCTGGTTGCAAACCTGCTGGCCGATGTCCTTGCTTTTCTGTGCAAATCAAAAGACGAGCTGAGCCTTGGCCACCTTCTCTGTGAGCAGGCACTCACAGATTCCCAAGGCTGCCCAATTTGTCTCCTGCTTACACCCATCTCAGCCTTGCTCCTAGTCCTGGCTGTCTACTGTGGGCTTTAGGGAGACTCTCCTGGCTTGTCCTCCATTGTTTCCCAGGAATGTCTTTCTTTAGTCAATACATCCGTCAGCCTGGTTCCATTTGCACTGTACCTTGTAGAAATTCCTTGAAGTTTATGAGCCAGTAATGTGATTTTTTTTTTACTGATTTCCAGTGTGGAATAGGACTTTCCCTCTTTTATTTCTTTGTCTGTTTCAATGGGAATTTGGAATGGGGATGATTTAAATGCATGGGTCCAAATTATGGTCTATAAACAACCATCAGATGCTGTAACTTTTGACGGGTCAGAATACAAAACTGATTTATTTACAGTGTCACCACTAGGTGGTGCCACCAATTAGTGAAAACAATGTGGTTGCTATGGCTGGACTTCAAGAACCACCTGTAGCTACTACAAGCACCAGTTTGTGACTTGTCTGGAACTTGCATTCACCTGTGCATATTTACATGAGCATGTGCACACACAATTATTAGTGTGTGAGTTTTCCCACAGAGCAATGTTGATTTACAAGCCTGTGCATGAGTCTGTGCCAAAAAATATGAGTTTCAAAAGGCTTACCAATCAGCTATGTGGTCCAGAATGGGAGTTCCTTGGATGGGAAGTCCCCAATCCTGTGGGGGGGAATACAACGACAAGCTTTTCTGAGGCAGGGATTCCTGAAACACAGCCACAGTGTCCTTAAAGTTGTAAGTCCTGCAAACCCTTATGTACAGTCAAGCCTCCAAGAAGGTCTCGGTCTGTTTCTTCTCCTCCTCCTCCTCCTCTTCCTCCTCCTTCTTCTTCTTCCTCCTCCTCCTTCTTATTCTTCTTTCTTTTCAAGACAGGGTCTTGCTCTGTTGCCCAGGCTGGAGCACAGTGGTGCGATCTCAGCTTACTGCAGCCTCAACTTCCTGGGCTCAAGCAATCCTCCCACCTCAGCCACCTGAATAGCTGGGATTACAGACACCTGCCACCACGCTTAGCTAATCTTTTATAATTTTTGTAGAGACAGGATTTTGCCATGTTGCCCAGACTGGTCTTGAACTTCTAGGCACCAATAATCCACCCCCCTCAGCATCCCAAAATGCTGTGATTACAGGCTGCTGCACCTGGCTGTGTCACTTCTTATTTATGCCTAGTGTTCCATTACTGGAACGCTAATTATGTGGGAGTTATTTATATCCTACTGATCAAGGTCATTGTCAAGGTCTGATTGCAGAAATTAAAAAAATGCAAACTTAGGCATAAATGTGTTAAGTTGCAGAGGACTGTGGTCTCAATGCCTGTCTTTCACTGCCCCTCTGGTGCCCAAAGCATCTAATCAAATGTTCACCTTGGGATCTACTATCCAGTTGGGGAGTGAGTCTGCACCTAAGGAAACAGATGTCGTGTATATAGGTATGTGTGTGGAAGGCCTGAACCCCTGCCCCCTCCAGGCTCATTTGCATCTCCACCTCATCTTCCCACTATCTCTGTGGAAGGCCTGGCTGATCTCAGGCTCTCACTCCAGATGGCCCCTCACTGCAGGGACAGTGCTCTGTTGAGTACATGCTGTATAGATTAGCTCACAAGGCTGGGGGAACGTAAGCGAGTCTTTCCCTTCTCTGGCCTCAGTTTCTCCATCTGTCAGTGAGGGCTGGGTCTGGGTGATGCCAAGGGGCCCTTTGAGCTGACTGAAGTTCTTCAAGTTCATGGTTGTAAGGCCCGGCCCTGCCCCGCCGCCAGCGGCTGGTCAGGGGTGGGAGTCTTCCTGGAGAAGTTCTGAGGATGAAAATCCTGTTTGACTTCCTCCTCCTCCTCCTCCTCCTCACAGCAGACTTCCCTCCTTAACTTCCCTAGGGAAGGCAGCGGGGCTCCCGGGGCCCCAGGAGTCTGCAGGAAGGGTTCTTACTCCAGCATCATTAAAAGTTCAAGTGGCTCCCCCAAGGGCCAAAGAAGTGCCAGGATTCATTAGACCTGCTGCCCCCCAACCCCCCACCGCCCCGAGCCCAATTTGTTTGAAAGGAATGTTTAGCCTTTTCATCTGGTGAGGGTTTTCATTAAGAGTTTGAGGCCTCCCTGAGAGAGCTCAGCTCAGATTGAGGTCAGAGGGGGAAGGGTCCCTGGAGGTCAGCTCTTGCCCTGGGAACTCTGCAGAGGAGACAGGCTGGGTCATGGGAAGGGGTTTGCCCAATGTCACGGTGGGGGTGCTGCCAGAGCTCAGAGAACCAGCCTCGTGGTGTTGGCAGACATTCCTCCACATGGCAGGTGGCGGGGAGATGAGCACAGACCCCGAGGAGCCTGGGGGGAGGGGCTGAGGACTCAGCCTGGAGGGATCCTGCAGAGCCAGACACAGAACTGGGGCGTTGGGGGCCCCACTGCGTGTGAGGAAGAGCTTGGGGAACAGCCCAGCATGCCCATAGCAGAAAGGCTTGCCCAGGGAGAGCATGAGTACCTGTCGCTGAGGCCCATGAGCAGGATGGGATGGTGACTCCCAGGAGGAACAGAATGGATTCGAGCCAAGGGGCTGGGCTTGGAGGGAGAGTCAGTGACTGCTCAGATCCTGCTGCTCTGTAAATGCTCCACTAGGTAGGAATGGTATTCACCACCGCTGGGCAGGGAAGGTGTGACAGAGCAAGGAGCACGCCATTATGGCCAGTTGAGACTGCTGAACTGGGAACCAGGAGGCCGGGCCTGTGCCTGCCCTCTCTGAGCTCAGTGGCCTCCTTCCTGCCTCCCAGCCACCTTACAATGACACCCGGACCCTCCTTCTTCCCACGACAGGCCGGATGGAGGACCTCCCTGGATGGTGAAATCTGCCTGTGGCCCCTCCCTGAGCTTCTCAAGCTCACTGAGCTTGGGCTGGTTCATCTGACAGAGCCTTACTCAGCCCCGGAGAGCTCTACAGGCCACTGGACCGGGAACCCCAGACTCTCAGGTGACAGTGTCTCCCGAGTCCTGGAGTCCACTGCAATGGTATCAATGGCAAACGCGTGATGGGAGCTGATGTTGCTGTTTATACATCTCATCTCCTTTAGTCCTCAGCACACCCTGCAGGGAAGGAACTGTTACCAGCCGTTTTACAGAAGAGGAAATAGGTCAAGTAACTGTGCATAGTCTCAGAGCTAACGAGTTATGTGGCTCCAAAGCCTGTGTGCTTCATCTCTGTTCCTCAGTCTCTACAGGAGGAGACGGAAGCCCGGAGAGAAAAAGTCACTGAGCCAGGCGGTTTCTTTCCTCTAGACTCAGGGCTCCTCCCTCAACCAGATCCAGCCTGACAGTTCCTATGTCTCCACCCAGCCTCCCTGCCAGGCCTCCCCAGAGTTCACAGCGGCCTGGCCTCACCCTTGGACAGCAGTTGCAGTCCAAACAGACTTCGCCCACATTCCCTGGCTGCTCTCCAGCCCGCAACGGAGACAACAAAGTTTAGTGACAGAGAGGGCTGAGCGGAGGCTGCTGAAGGGGAGAAAGGAGTGAGAGGTGCTGGGTAGGGGCTGTCTGGCTCCCAGATGCTGGACCTCCTGGGGAGCGCAACCCTCACGGGATGGATCACAGGCGCTGCTGTGGCGGTCCTGCTGCTGCTGCTGCTTCTGGCCACCTGCCTTTTCCATGGACGGCAGGACTGTGACGTGGAGAGGAACCGTCCAGCTGCAAGGGGAAACCGAGTCCGCTGGGCCCAGCCTTGGCTTTTCCGGCGCCGGGGCCACCTGGGCCATCACCATCACCATCATCCTGGCCACGTGTCTCATGTGGGCTTCCACCACCACCACCACCACCCCCGCCACACCCCTCACCACCTCCATCACCACCACCACCACCACCCCCGCCACGCTCGCTGAGGCTGCCGCCGTGGGTTCCTGTGGACAGCAGCTGTCTCTGCCTGCCATCCATTCCCAGGACAAGTGGACCCCATGTTTCCATGGGGAAGGATGCGTCTCTGGAGTGAAGGATGGAAACGATGGCCTGGGGCCTGCGTGAGCTGCATTTGCATGCTATGCCCCATGGTACTGTGGCAGCAGAGAATGGAGGAACACTGGAGCCTGCTACGCTGAAGGGTTTGGGGAGTGGAGAGCAAGAGTGCCTCTTTTGTGATTGTGACTCCCAGTGAGCCCCAGAAGTGACAAGGGTGTCTTGGCAAAGCCAGGACACAGGTGGATGTGAAGTGCCCATCTTGACCTCCTCATCAGACCACTGCAGGCCTCTGGCTGGTAGGGCACTGGGAGAGGCCCTGAGAATGTCCTTTTGGTTTGGAGAAGGCAGTACGAGGCTGCACAGTCAATTCATCGGTGCTTTAGTCCAGGAAAATAAAAACCACTAAGAAGCTTTTGTGAAGAGGCTCTTGATTGCAGCATAGCAGGCGGCAGGGAGGGAGCTGCCTGGCCTGCGTCCTCATTGCCCTGGGACCTCCCTCTCTGCTGGGAAGTGTGTCTGGAGCAGGTGGCTTCTGTCTGGGTCTTAGGGGCTGGTTGTGGAGTGGGAAGAATTGGGTGGGCTCTGTCTGAGCTCTGAGGGAGGATTCGGGGTTTGCCCAAAGCCCTGCCCACAGAAGGTCCTGTGTGCACCAGCAGGGCTTTGGCCTTCTTGGGGACAGGAAGGTTGGAGCCGCTGCAAGCCTGGATCCCCAGGGCTCTGCCCCTGCACTCTTTTCAGCCCACATCCAGGGCGAACTGAGCTCTGGAACTCGAGGAAGCCCCACCCACAGGCTGTCTTGAATTGTTTCCTTGGTAACTGGGTCACGGTTTCTTCTCCAGGCCTTGTATCTCCCGCCATGCTGCCCCAGCTGTGTGCCAGTGCATGGTGGGAGGGCTGGGAAGGAGCAAGTGGAGGTCTTTAGATGCTGGGGTACAGGGTGTTGGATGGCCTTGGGAGAATGCTGGGGTCTCAGTTTCCTCTTCTCTACAATGGGGTGGGTAACAGAGATGCCCCTTGCTGAAGCCTGGAGGCTCGTTGGAATATGCTCTATGAAAGCTGGTGGTATCCACAGTGAGAAAGGAAGTCTGGCTCTGAGACCATCAGCCTGTGCCTGTGAGCTTAGGTGGGAAGTGGGGCCAGGCGAGGCGGTGGGGAGGGGCTGGAGAGCAAGCCAGAGAGTCAGGGGCCTGGTGACTCATAGGAACAGAATGTCCTCTTTCCTTTCTATTTCCCAGTGGATTCTCTGTGAGGACTGGAGGAGGAGGGAGAGACGGGGAGGCAAATTCACACTGATTTCTCCCGCCCTGGGTTTCTGGGTTGGGAAAGTGGACCCTAGGCGGTCATGCAGTGTTGACTTCCTCTGCAATGTCCTTCAAATCCACCCCCTATAACCCAGGACCTCTCCATGCCCCACCTGGATTCCTGCCACAACTCTTCCTTCTGTTCCCTCCAGCCCTGCCCCTTTTCCAAGCATCTCCATGCTGATTTCACAGATGAATCAAAGAAGGGGAAGAGGTTCCCCTAAAGCTCAGAAACAGGAAAGGAAGCCTATGCAGGGCAGGAGGCCTGCTGAGCGATCGGCCTTTATTTCAGTTTAAAAATGTGGAACCACTCAGGCACTCTGCAGGCGGCCTCCAGCTGCGTGTCCCCGCCAAGAACAGCTGATGAGAAGTCAAAGGAACAAATGTTCAAGCTTGACACACAGTCCCCTGGTGCCCTCTATCACCCCAATTAAGGAGGTGATGTTGGTAACTCAACCTGAAACCACAGGCCCCTAGATCATCCCGTCATCTCCTTCCCTCTGCTTCTGGTCGTCCCAGTTAATAAAAATAATCCAAGGAATCTGCTTCCTGTCACGGCCCACAGGCTGCTCCGTGTGGAGGAGGAGCTCAGGGCCCAGATGGTCCCATCATCTCAGAAAAGGGACAGATTGAGAATATGACAGGCCATGGTTTGCTCTGAAAAGTTGCTCTCCCATTCTGTGCAAAGGGCCGGTTTCCTAATGCTGGTACTAAAGAAAGTTCCCTTGGGCCTTGGAGAAACGGAAAAGGATCCGGGCTGCATGACCTTGGGCCGGCCCTCTGCCCTTTCTGGGACTCTGCACCCAGATCAGTAAAACTGCAGAATCAGATGACCTGTGGTCCAATGGTACCTGGAAAGGGCACTGAGCTAGGAGTGGAGGGAGGCTGGTCCCTCCTCAGCTACTGGCACTCCGGTTAACGTGGCTAATTCAAAACGGGCTACAGGGAGGTCATTTAACCTCTATGACTGTAGGATCTTTATCTGTAAAATGGAGGCTATATCGCTACACACGGTTGCTGGGAAGGTTATGAGGTCATGCCTGGTGGGGTCCCATGCCTGGAGTTACTGTTCTCACTACTCTGTTTCCCAGAATATGGACAAAGTGGGGCTGATAGCCCAGTCTCCTTTCTGGAAGTGGTGATGGTCTGCAGAGGTGTTGGGTGTGAAGGGGCTCTGACGTGGCAGACTAACTCAGTCACCTGGGCCTAGCTTATTCCGCTGACCTCCTGGCAGGGAGCAGGGTGGAAATGGCTTGGGGAGCGCACGGCGGGGGGCGGGATAACGGGTTGGACGGCTGCTGAGTGGGTCCTGGGCCCTTCTCACAATTGGAGGAAGGAATTCAGGAAGTGCTCTCAGCTGCTCAGACATCTCGGAGCCAAGTTCCAAGCGGGACAACGTGGAGGCTGCGGCACCCAGGGAGGAGTGCCATGGTCCCTGGGGCGGCCACCACGCCAGGGGGCTGAAGTACTAGGTGCAGCGAGGGCTGGCCCTTGGGGAGCCCAGGGTAAGTCTTCGTAGTACAAGAGTGTGAGCAAGGGGCTGAGTGGGCAGCAAAGAGGGCAGGCAAGGCCAGCACCCAAGAAGGCTTCTTCTGGGACCTCCGGGTAAGGAGCCCCACAGTCATGGACAGGGCAGGGATTCCCAGGGAAGCACGTGATACTCTATCTAAACTGCATGCTCCCAGCACCAGGCAGAAAAGGAGGCCAAATGCAACCTGCCCCCGCCTCCAGCCCCCGCTGAAGGCCCTGGCACCTGGGGTGACCCGTGAGTGGCCCTGCCTTGCCCAGAGCTGGCGCATGCCTTCCTCCCTCCTTGTGCCCCTGCCCCCAGCACAGGGCCGGGGGCTGGGGAGGCAGCAGATAGGCCTATTGAAGCACTGGCCCAAGGTCCCTCCTGGGGAGGAGCCGGGCTCCTCCTGCATCCATAGAAGGGGGAGTATTTTGTCTTTGGCCTGAGTGTAACTTGTTCTTGAAATCCGTAGGCGTCACCGGAGGGCCAGGGCTGGCTAGGCTGTCTCTGTGCAGCGTCTTCTGACCCCTCCTCTCCACCTCGGGAGTCTGTTCTCACATCTTCCAGGGCAGTGCTTCTTCTAGAAGCTGACATGGAGCTGACCACAGCGCCTGGAGGCCTGGCCTGAGGAGTAGAAAATAGAGATTTATCCAAGATTTGAGCAGTGGGGTCACGTGGCAGTGCCCAATGGCCTGGAGCAGGAGCGACCCAGGGACTCAGAGCAGCGTCTTCTTAGGAGACGGAGGGAGAGCACCGGGCCCCTGCCATCACCAAGAGCCTCCTGTTCTGCATGGGAGTGAAGGCTTCGAGAGGACCTAAGGTTGCTCAGCGGGCCATGGAAACGGCAGTGATTGGGGTGGTGGCAGTACTGTTTGTGGTGACTGTGACCATCACCTGTGTCCTCTGCTGCTTCAGCTGTGACTCGACGGCCCAGGATCTACAGGGGGGCCCTGGGAGCAGCTTCACGGTGGCCACGTTTCACCGGGAGGCTTCTCTCTTCACGGGGCCTGGTCGCCATGCCCAGCCAGTGCCTAGTGCCCGGGACTTCTGGACCTTCATGTGAGGCCTGAGTCCCTAGGATTTGCTATACTGATGGGTCAGACTCACATGCCCCTCAGCAAGCCTTCCCTGGCCTTCTGCCCCTCCCAGGGCTGCCTCCTGTTCCTTCCCCTCCTGTAACCTGTGAACTCTCCATCATCTCTCCCACCCCAGCCTGGGAGATCCTTGGTATTGGAACCCCTGAGCCCAGCTGGAGTTAACCCACAGGATGGGAATGGGGCTTAGGAGGGGTCTGAGGAGTGAGCGAACAGACACAGCGCTGGACTGCAAGGCCGCCAGGTCTGCTGAGCTACACCAGGAACTGAAATACCACTGGAATTTATTGTAGGCATGTGCCTGCGATGCTGGTCTATTGCCACCTGAGGACACAGCACCCTCAAGTGGACATTTTTGGAAACCGCTTCTTATTTGCTCTCCTAATCGATTCCTTTTGCACGTTGCACAGAACCCAGCCTCGAGGCCTGCTCCCTGCCATTTGCCTGAAATCAGCCCTAAAATTCTGAAGAGCTGCTTCCTGGGAACAGATGATTTACTTTAGAACTGAAAATGTATATCCTTTTACGGGCCTTTCCAAATCTGATTTGGAGAGAAAATACGAGCCACAGAAAGCACCGTGTTTTATCGAAAGCCAGAAATCTGATTTTTAAACATATTTTTAACGTGTTTTGTATTGCTATATTCTAACAGGTCACTTCTATTCTTAGAGAACGTGACTTGTGTTACCCGGGAGTGACAGAAAAACCAGGAACTGAAAGATAATTCCAGACAAGTTAAAATGTTATGTTACATTCAGAGCATGTAACGAAGCTCTTGTTTTCATCACAAACAAAGACATACTCAGTTTTTATTAATAGAAACCCATTCTCCTGTGGCCATGGAATAAACGCCGTGCTGTATTTAAGGAATTTGGTTCGAAAGGTACAAAATCGGGAGCCTCCTGGCTCTTATGTCTGCATTTAGCCCTGAGTAGACGGCTCTCCCAGGACCTGTCTGTTGAGGGGGGCAGGATTGAGCTTTAGGGGGACTCTGGCCTCTAAGGGTGTCCAGGCAGGCTGCCCTTGCCATGTGGCTGCCACGGGAAGGGCCCTCAGAGAGAGTGGCTTGGAGCTGGAGACGTATAACGGGAAGATGCTGGAGGGAGGGGGAAGAGCATGGTGGGCGGGGCTCAACTCAGGCCCCAGAGCTCCTGGGACCAAGTCCTGGACACTCCGAAGGCCAGTCCCCCATGCAGGGCCTTCACAGATGCACAGGGAAGGGACCCGGCATGTGGGGAGGCCCCGGAGACAGAGGGACGAGAACTTTTGCGGGCTGTATTCTCTAAAAGCCAACACTGTGGCAAAGTTTGGGTGCAAGACATTTATCAAGGATCATCTCCTGTAAAGGGAAGTATCGAGTCCCGCTCGGCCGTAGAGACCCCCACCCAGGCGACGCTAAAGCAAGTAAGAAGCAGACACTCGGATAGAACAGCAAAGTGAAAGGGACTATCCAGATGTCAAAAACCTTTTCCTCAGCCTTCCAAGCCAACAGCCTCAGGGGCTGACAGC